TACCTCTGGTGCAAATTACTGACCTCTGTCATCATTTTAAGTGGGGGAACTTGCACAATCGGTGGCTGACTAAATACTTTTTTGCCCCACTGTATATGCTTAGAGTTGTATAATCAATGTCATGTTGGTAGAGGTTTGATCCTTAATAGTCTGCAAAGACTTTGTGTGCATTCCAGAGTGCTCTGGCATTCACACCCACATCCTGGGAGCATGGGAGAGGTCGTACCTTCTCTTATTATTTTATGGCAGGATAAACGTATCTATGTCTATTTTAGTCTAAGTGCCTTTTGTTTAGATGAACTGCTGGACTTCCAGACCAGCAGGTTTAGGGAAGTCATTTATGGGGGGACACACACACACTTACACAACGCACAGGCAAGGTACTCTTTGTTTGTATGTAGACGTCATACTGTATGTTAATGAACCTATGTATATTCATGTAACCTCAATAAAAGAGCAGTGTTACGGGGGTGCGGACGAGAGCGACTGAGGTTAAGCGAAGGAACAGCGCTTGTCGTGGTTCTCTCCCTCATATATGAGTAACACAAAGAACTTTGCCTACTTGGTGTTCAATGCTTTTGCTGTGTAGTTGAATTGTCTTGAACGTTCCAGCGAATAGGTTTGTAGCTTAAACCTATCACACCTACCCTGCTCTACAGGTCTGGTTTTGTGGGTGTTGGGTTTTGTTCGCCATTTTAGAGAGATTTTTGTATGAAAGTTCATGCAAATATGTGCGAGTGTTGAGTTTTCATAAGAACTGGAGGAACCTTTTATTAATGTATTTTAATTCATGCGAGAGATATAGTAGTGTTCTCTGGGAAGGATTTTAGTTGGGAGACATCTTGGCAGAATCAGCTGATGACCAAGACACACTTGAGTGCTTATATGTGCAGCACAATATAGATTAATGTAATCTGTTACTGTCTTTTGGGTATTAAAAGTAAATCGTCATTGATTTTTACACTTGTTTGCCTTTCGCATTACTGTAGCAGCATTTAAGCGAGTTCAGGAACCTAAATCTTAAGTTTGCTACTGGACAAACATAGGATTTATCACCTAGATGTAGATGAATGTGAAATTGTATTACATCAGCCTGTTTAAAACAAAAGAGCTTGTTTGATGTTTGAAGTAATCGTCCTGTTTCAAATTGACTTTCTTTCAGGCTTGTCTGCGCTGAGTCTGTGTTTCAGTCCAGAGTCACGGACCTCTTTTTACTTGTGTCACATCTGTGGTGAGAAGAGTTTACCTAGTAATGTTTTAAGGCACTTCTTTTCTATGGACCATTACAGCAACTACATTGTGAGTACTGAACAACATAAAATATAAAGCAGGAATATTTAGTGTTTAATTTGTAAGATTAATTCAAACTTTTTGCTTTTTGATAAGAATTGCATGGATCCCAATGCAATGAGTTTCTCCTGGATCCCCAGCAAGAAAATGAAAGAGACTGAACTCAAAAACAGAGTAAAAGAAGAAGCGTCTATGGACTTGCAGGTGTGTGTGTGTGTGTG